CTACAGATTACTATGTACACATCTAGCCACAGCCTTACTTTTCCATACACATAAAACAAACGAAGATGATGAATCATAGAATTTTGTAACTAAAAGGAACAGCAAAATCTGGTTTTTCTTCCTTATTTCTTTTTTCTTTTTTGAGACAGGGTCTCGCTTTGTCACCCAGGCTGGAGTACACTGGCACAATCATAGTTCATGGAAGCCTCAAACTCCTCGGCTCAAGCAATCCTCCCACGTCAGCCTCCTGAGTAGCTAAGACTACAGGTGCATACCACCACACCCAGCTTCTTCCTTATTTTTATGAAGCTGAGGACAATATATGTCTTAGTCTGTTCAGGCTGCTATAACAAAATACACTAAATTGGTTCTACTTATAAACAACAAAATAGATACAATAAAAAACAAAAATTTATTTCTCCCTGTTCTGGAAGCTAGGAAGTCCAAAACCAAGGTGCCAGCAGATTTGCTGACTGGTGAGGGCCCATTTCCTGCTTCATAAAAACAGTTGCTTTTTGCTGTGTCCTCATATGCTGGAAGGAGCAAACAAGTTCCCTTGGTCCACTTTTATAAGGGCACTAATCCCATTCATAAAGGATGACCTCATGACCTAATCACATCACCAAAGCCTCATCTGTTAATAGCATCATACTTGGGATTAGGGTTCAACATATGAATCTGGAGGAACATAAACATTCAGACAACAGCAATACATTTTAAATACTTTTCTACCTCTCAGATGACAAAGCCAGAAGTGGTTCATGGATTGGGCTTTTAGGACCAAGAGCACTTGTATTAGGAGAAGGAGGAAAAATGGAATGGTAAACAGTTATGATGATAGAATACAATCAATTTTACATTTCAAAAGAGAATCAGTTCAGGTAATACAAGAAGGCATGGCACTAGACTAGCCTATACCTAAAGTAGAGAAAAGTTCAAATTATGACACTAGTGTGTAAGATTGGTACCAAGAAGAACACTGACAGAACCAGAAGCAGAGAAAATGACTGTAGCAGTTGTCCACATTAGGATAATAAAGCACCTAGCACTGTTCAGTGTAAGCATGGAAAGAGCCAATAAGTCTAGGAGCTTTTATTCTTATGAAGGTAAAAGATGATAGAAATAAGAGGATCATAGGATTAAATGGCCTCAAGGTTTTGAATAGAACTCCAAAAAGATTCTCCATGTAATTATGATCAAAGCACTAGGATTACAAATATGATACCAGTAAAAATATGTATGTGACTCAGCAACATCTGTTAACAAAAGAAGGTACAGAAAGTTTAAAATCCTCTTGGCAGAAAATGACAATCATAACATCTGTAAAGTGTAGCCCTAGTAGAGAAAGTGGGGTGACTGAATTGGAATTGGGCTATAAATTTGCTCTTATTCTGATTTCAACAGAGCTCTTTCCCAAGTGAAGAAAGTAGTAATAGGTAAGTGTAAAGTTTGAGGAAGGGCTGAAAGTACTAAAAAAAAAAAAAAAAAAAAAAAAAAATTGGAAAAGTCACTGAGGGGAATGGGAAAGAATTAAAGGATGTCAGTGAGGGTTTGGGTCCGGTCAGACCTGGGAATTCATAGTAATGTTAATTTGCCTATTGTCTAATTTTCTCCAGCAAAGGTCAGTCACCAGAATGTAGGAGAGGAAAAGATACACTGCACCGATGCAGGGTTGTAATTTTACTAAAGGAACCATCAAAAGAATAAAGTGAAAAGGATTTAATGCCATTTGTAAGAAAATAGTTCAGATCATTACACTCATGGGGTCCAGGATGAATAGAGGGAAAAAGTTTCTTAATGGAAAAAATAGCTTATAACCTTTTAATTGGTATATTTAATTTGTCTTAACTTGAGACAAGTTCCAAGAATGGCAAAGATGTTCTCTAACACTCATTTTCAATATATTCATTTTCAATATCAGCACAAAATTGTAGCTCAACCTTAGATAACATTATCCCAGAAATCGGAAGAACCAAGCAGAGTTTACTGACCAACAGTCCTTATCCTTGATGTGCCAACATCTGAACTCCCTCTCTATAATAAGAATGGCTCTGGTGTTTTTGAATGGCTTTCCTTTTTGACATCTGCTATCATATTAACATAAATATTTAAGATGACATGACATAAAATCACAAAGAAGGAAATGATTACTTTATCGAGGGAAATTTGGAGTTTGTAAGATTCTTTAAGTGACTCTTGAATAAGTGCACTGCTTGCTTTTGTCTGATTCAAAGATTCAATCAAATCTTTATTTTCCAAAATGTTGCCTTGAGATGTGGCAAGTGTCTGTAGAAAAAATTAACAATATAACATTATTATACATATTAAAATAAACAATTAAAGGAAGCCCATATTAACAGTCATTAATTTGATAATGTTTATGGGGCCTTACATTATTTTAGAAGAATTTCAACATTTTATAGCCTTCTATTTTTTAAATTTTGTTTTTATTTTGTTTTTATTA